ATATATATATATTTTTAGGAAAAAGCGAAAATGCGGCTACGCATCAATGACAGCGAGATTCTATGGCCTGGCAAGCAAAAGAAGAAACCGGAAGGTATCATGATACCCACACACTTGAAAATCTTAACCATCGAAGAGAAACCGTTCGTCTATACACGTCGTTTGACAGACGATGAAGTCAACTGCGATGAGGACGAAATACCTTGTCCATTATTTAATGCCACCGATGGCAGCGGTTGGTAGAAATTTTACTCAACATCTTTTCTGCACTCATTTTTTTTCACTAATCCTTTATGGTACAATCTGGTGTCTAAAACCACTTCGATTTTCGGTATAGTCATGATAAATTCGAAATTAGTTACAGAGTGATTTGCAATTTTCTCAAACTATTTAAGCATTAATGAAATCATTAAAATTCCAAGGCACCTAAGTTAAAATTACTGGCCCAAGCCTAAATCATTAATAATATATAAAAAAAGATTACTAACAAATTTAATATAACGTTGGGTTGATCCGTGAAAAATTCCTCAATGGTAAAATAATCGAGCGTGTTTTTGCTTTGCTTTTAAAAAAGGTCGGCATGCATTAGTTCTTTCGAGTAATTGAAGTGGCAGGGTAACAGATAAGTAAAAAATACTGTTGTACTAAACAAAGCTGAGGAAAGTCCTTCAATAGTTTTAACTTTTCATTTCCCCCCATTCATATATATGCTATTATATTATTCTCCGTAAATTTTTACTGACTTCTTTTAATAATGAATAAATTCTCTGCAGAGAACGAGAACTGCTGTCGCGGATATTGCATTGATCTTTTAAACGCTCTTTCGCATCGCATTAATTTTACATTCGATCTGGCACTCTCACCGGATGGACAATTTGGTCATTTCACTTTAAAGAATGTGAGTTCGTCGAGTTCGGGCGCGATAACGTCGCGTAAAGAATGGAGTGGTCTAATTGGGGAATTGGTGAATGAACGTGCCGACATGGCGATGCCACTCACCATTAATCCAGAGCGTGCCGAATTTATAGAGTTCTCGAAACCGTTCAAGTACCAAGGCATCACAATACTCGAAAAGAAACCATCACGTTCAAGTACTTTGGTGTCGTTTCTGCAGCCATTTAGCAACACGCTATGGATATTGGTAATGGTATCTGTACATGTAGTCGCGCTGGTCCTATATCTACTCGATAGGTAAGTAGGGTTTTTCAACCCCGATCCTATCATGAGATCAGTCCTCAAACATGTAAAACTCATACTAATTGCATTCAGTAATCTATATTAAAACCACTGAGAGCTGATCTCTCGACCATGCACCCTTTCCCCAAACAACAAAAAACTCAATTATATAAAAGACAAGCTTATAAAATGCTATCAGTAACACAAAAACCAAATATTGATCGCCGCTCATCGATCGCATGCCGAAGCACTTTAAGCATTTCATCTTTCCAATACCCACTATCGTAGTTTTCTTTAAGTGCCCTACCACAAACAGGTAAATAACAGTACTGCAACCACGCTTTTCTTGGCGATTTTTCGTTTTTATTTTTCACTCAGATTCTCACCGTTTGGACGTTTCAAACTGTCACATACGGATAGCAATGAAGAAAAGGCGTTGAATCTGAGCTCGGCCGTCTGGTTTGCCTGGGGTGTGCTCTTAAATAGTGGCATCGGCGAGGGAACGCCACGCAGTTTTTCGGCACGTGTACTCGGCATGTTCTGGGCGGGCTTTGCGATGATCATTGTCGCTTCCTACACTGCCAACCTGGCTGCTTTCCTCGTGTTGGAGCGGCCGAAAACTAAACTTAGTGGTATTAACGATGCGCGACTACGGAATACAATGGAGAATTTGACTTGTGCGACGGTGAAGGGATCATCGGTTGATATGTATTTCCGACGCCAGGTAGAGTTGTCTAATATGTACCGAACAATGGAGGCAAACAACTATGACACGGCAGAGCAGGCAATACAGGATGTGAAGAAAGGGTAAGTGGATAGAATTAAAAATCACCTCGCATTGTAAAATTTTCTTCGCACACAGAAAACTAATGGCCTTCATTTGGGACTCTTCACGTCTTGAATATGAGGCGTCTAAAGATTGTGAGCTAGTTACCGCTGGTGAATTATTCGGACGTAGTGGATATGGCATCGGTTTGCAGAAAGGTTCGCCATGGACGGATGCGGTTACGCTTGCGATTTTAGAGTTTCACGAGAGTAAGTTGGGTTTAAATAAAGCTATGGAACAGCTGCATATTTATTTATGTTAAGGTGGTTTCATGGAAGCGCTCGATAAACACTGGATATTCCATGGGAACGCGCAACAATGCGAACTCTTCGAGAAAACGCCCAACACGCTTGGACTTCAAAACATGGCTGGCGTTTTCATTTTAGTTGCAGCTGGTGTTGCTGGTGGTGTCGGCCTCATTATAGTCGAAGTAATCTACAAAAAACATCAAGTAAAGAAACAAAAACGTTTGGACATAGCACGGCATGCAGCAGACAAGTGGCGCGGCACTATAGAAGTACTTATGTTGCATGAATGTTTGTGAGACGAAAGAAATTAATGTCAAAATTTAATGAACTCATTTCAGAAACGCAAGACCTTACGTGCTTCGCTCGCCATGCAGCGACAATACAACGTGGGTCTGAACGCTACTCCGGGTACCATTAGCTTTGCCGTGGATAAACGTCGTTATCCCCGCATGGGTCCACGCGCACCCGAGCAAGCCTGGAAGAGCGATGCCGACTTTTTAAGAAATCGCCGCTATCTGGATGATGCAACCAA